TTTTAAAAAGATTCCCAGGTGATTCTAATGTGCAGCCAAGGTTTGACACCCACTGCATTAAAGAGACTTACAAAATTGTAAACCAAAGTAAAACACTCTTCAAACTATTTTTGTTTTGGAAAATGGGCATTTTTCATAAAACTTATTACTTACATTAACATTTAACGGACGTGTAACTTTTTAATGAGTGACTAAAATATTTTGACGTTTTGCTTTAATTTCTAATATTTGAATATCAATTATAACCCATATAAGCAAACCTCTCTGGAGTTCTGAATCATTTTTAAGAGTGTGAAGGGTTCCAATAGACCAAAAATTTTGAGACACTTATTCCAACACCGTGTTTCCCAAAGAGAATGCCCATCATTATTTTAGGTTATAGACAACAACAACAAAAAATTGTTTACTAAATAATTAGAAAAAATAGCCAACAAATCCTGTGATTTTATAGACAGTGTTGTTTAAGGGATGTGGTGAAGTTAAATTAATTTACATAAAACAATGTATGGGGAAATGTTAAGTAAATAATATAACATAGCAAAATATTAAGTAAATAACACAGGTGACATTCATCTATGACCAGTCTTACAAGGTAGTCCTCAAATCACTCAAGTGGGAAATGCTGTTTTAATCCATTAACACATAGCTTCAAATAAACCACATCTTGTCACTTCCTTCCTTAAGGTTTTTTTTTTTTTTATATATATATTTTATTGATTTTTTCACAGAGAGGAAGGGAGAGGGATAGAGAGTTAGAAACATCGATCAGCTGCCTCCTGCACACCCCCCCACCGGGGACGTACCCGCAACCAAGGTACATGCCCTTGACCGGAACCGAACCCGGGACCTTTGAGTCCGCAGGCCGACGCTCTATCCACTGAGCCAAACCGGTTAGGGCATCCTTCCTTAAGGTTTTTGTCATAAATCTACCCCAGCTCCCTTCACAGCTCTGCACTCTCCTATTCCCTGCTATCCTGGGAGCTTTACCAGAATTCCCCAGCCGCGCCTGCTCTGCCACCTTTACACCGGTGCGGTCGCCGCCGCCTGAAAGCGTCCTGGAGTTCCCAAAGCCCCTCCCCGGCAAATTCCTACTCAACCTCCAAGCTCCTTGGAAGCCTTTCCTAATTCCCTACAAAGTTTTAATACTACCTTCTCGATGTTTTTATAACACTTGGAGTTTATATTTACTCATGACAAATAGGATATTTACACGTTCTCTCCACTACTGTGAGCTCCCCAAAAGCAGGGCTCTTCTACCAGCAGTGCCGGGCACAATGCCTCGTTTTTCTAACCTATAGCCACTTAGGGCACCTCGGTGGTTTTCTTCTTCCCCGTGGGCAGAAGCATGGTATTTTACCAGGGTGAACCACTGAGTTAGTCATCCTTAGATTGGAGAATGCTTCAGTGCTCACTAAAAGCTGTTTAACACCTGATAGTATAAGAAGGGCTGTTGCATCCTTGAAGGTCAGCGGTGCCCCAGGCGGGCAAGGTCTTAGGCGCGCGGAGTCGCGCCGAGCGGTTCGGTACCCACCTGGCGTTCAGGCGCATCCCGGAGGCCAGCGTTTTCCCTCCAGGCCGTTGTGAGCGGGAGTCCGGACCGCGCAAAAGTCTGCACGACCGCAAGTCGCAGCGTCCGCCTACCTCGGGGAATGCCGTGGTGCCTCTAGAACCGAACCTATATCCTCTCGCTTCTGCCCCCGCTGCTCTGACAACTGCAGCACACTACTTCCGGTGGTGCAACACTCAAACGCCCCCGACCGACAACTTCCGCTCTCCTCGCTAAAAGCGGAGAACAGAACTCGGAATGCGTCGAGCTTTCGCTGGAGTCGGTCGTGTTAGAAGTGTCCCTTTCCTGTCGCGAGTTGCGAAGAGGTGGTTCGCGAGTCTCTGAGACCCGAGAATTGAGAGCTTCTTCGCGCCCGGGGGACTGCACCCGGCGGCCCGGCGGCCGTCACCATGGTGAGGAGGTGGCCTCGGGCGCTGGCTACGTGGGGCGTCAGAGATGGTGGGGTCTAGGGTCCCCGGGGCGCTGGGGCTGGGGTCAGAGGTGGTAGGCGGAAGTGAGGTTCAGCTGGAAGGAATGAGGGTAGATAGACCTCGAGGGGTCGGCTCCGTGGGATGAAAAGAAACCTTAACACTGGGGACACAGAATGGGGTATTTGTCAGAGCACAAGCTTGCGAGCAAGACGGGATTCACTCTGTTAAATTCCTGGTTTCACCACATGTTGCGGGGCCATCGGGGCCAGAACCTAGCGATAACCCTACGCTGTAGGCATTAACCCCGCCGCCACCTCATTTCACTGCCGAGGAAGCTGAGGGCATGCCTTGGCACTGGCCGGCTCACAGCCACGCCTGGCTGCCAGGTCCTACTACAGCTGTAATCTGTTTCTGTGCAACATAGATTCCACGTGCCTTGCACCTGGTTGCTGCAGTTTATGTGCTAGCAGTTGAAAACACCACACCTGATGTGTAGTGCCTTGCTACTTAGCATTGTTCTCCGTGGAGTTGGCTTTGTGTCATTATTTTATTTTCGCAGTATTACAATCCAAATGGACTGGGGCTTCATATTTAAACAGAATTGGCATATAAAATAGGCAGTTAAAAAGCAAAGGGGATCTCAGACATTGCTGGTGAAATGCAAAATAGTACAGCCACTTCAGAACATTGGACATATGTCCAAAGAGGTATATGCATGTTTATTCGCTAAAAACTAGGAGGAAACAGGTATCCATCACTGGCCCATGGATAAACAAATGGTGGTCTGTCCATACAATGGATACTACTTGGCAGCGAAGAAAAGGAAGTGCTAATACATGCAACATGTGGGGAATCTCCAAAGCCTTATGCTAAGTGAAAGAAGCGAGATGCAACAGGTAGATATTGTAGATTCCATTTGCATTTCATTCTGGGAAAGGCAAAACTAGAGCAAAAGAAACCAGATTGGAGGCAGTAAAAGAGGAATGACCGCCAAGTGGCACAAGGCAACTTTCTGGGGGTTGGAAATATTTTCTATCTTGATTTTGGTGCTTAAACAACTATAGTTTGTCAAAACTGACAACTGTGTGAGCTCCTGAATCAGACCATCCCTTTGGTATAGTTAAGTGGATTTTGGGCAGTTCCTTTCAGCGAACAGTAACTTTCACTGAGATTATTAGATGTATATCCTGATGCCTCATATCATCCAGGATCAAAATTTATTTAACGTATATCATGTTAATAGACAATACTGCAAGTGTTATTTAAGGAAGAGAGCATTTGGGTGAGATAGAATCTTCTATATCTCATATGTTGCTCAAAAGAAATTAAAGTTAACATTTCTTGTATCATTATAGCCACAAAACGAGTATATTGAGTTACACCGGAAGCGCTATGGATACCGTTTGGATTACCATGAGAAAAAGAGAAAGAAAGAAGGTCGAGAAGCTCACGAACGTTCAAAGAAGGCAAAAAAGATGATTGGTCTGAAGGCTAAGCTCTACCATAAACAGCGCCATGCTGAGAAAATACAAATGAAAAAGACGTAAGTGATCGTTTGTTGTAGCAAGTTAACATCTTTTGAGTAAGTTATTAAAAATGATAATCTTGAATCTTTTCCCTTTTTGGTAGTATCAAGATGCATGAAAAACGAAACACCAAACAAAAGAATGATGAAAAGACTCCACAAGGAGCAGTACCTGCCTATCTACTAGACAGAGAGGGACAGTCCCGAGCTAAAGTACTTTCCAATATGATTAAACAAAAACGAAAAGAAAAAGCGGTAAGCAATAAAAAATTAAGTCTTTACTTTTTTTTGTTCAGGAGAATTAAAATCAGATTTGAGGGGCTTGATTTGTTTTTTCAGCTTAATTAGAAACATGAAGTCCAACTATTCTCACTTAAATGTTGAAGTCTTTGTAAATTTCATTTTGTGTAAAATGTTTAAGAAATATAATTGCTTTCTCATCAGCCAGCAAGCACATTTTAGTATTAGTTTTCTTGAAAATTTATTAGAAAACGAGTCTTTAGTTTTTAAAAAATTATTTAAAAACAAAAAGTGAGTAAGCAGTGAATCTCAAATTTAGTATTTTAACAGCTTCCTAAACTCGACAGCTCCTAATATTGTGCTTTTGTGGAGAAGGAGACAACTGTTGCTTGTTTATGCTGCCGTGCAGTGTGTCAAAATAGATTGAAAAGTAAGATAGTGGAGCCCTAGCTGGTTTGGCTCAATGGATAGAGCACTGGCCTGTGGACTGAAGGGTCCCGGGTTCGATTCCAGTCAGGGGCACATGCCTGGGTTGTGGGCTCGATCCCCAGTGAGGGGCATGCAGGAGGCAGCTGATTAGTGATTCTCTCTCATCATTGATGTTTCTGTTTCTCCTCCCTTTCCTCTCTGAAATCAATAAAAATATATTTATAAAAAAAAAAGGTTGGATAGTGAGAAACATCCCCAAGTGATTGAACACAAATAAAAATTCAGCAGTTCTTAAAAATTTTTTCTGGATTGTGCTTAGTGTTAAATTCTGCTAAAAACGGAGAAAAGGGCATAGATACTATTTACACACCTGGTGTTAGATCAATAGAAATCCAGGAAGCAGTAGGATATGTGGTAACTATATTTAAAGAACTTTAACAATCTCCAAATTTCATTTTTAAGATGTTACTGCGGGTTTTTTGTTACGTAATTATCCAAAATGAGAATGGTAGAACTTTAGCACCGAAAGAAACTTTAGAGACTATCTAGCTAATCCCTCCATATTTTACTGATGAAGAGATTGGAGTCTGGGAGGTTGTAAATCATCTGCATGGTCAGGTGTCTATGAATTGATAGAGTAACCTCTCAGACCTTTGCGTTAGTAATAAGTCCAGAATTCTTCCTACTGTCTTGCACTTCTTCAGTTTTTTCACAAAATTTAATGTGCATTCTAGGGAAGTACAAAATATCTGGTGATGATTTTGTCTAGTAATGCATTCTAAAAATCCATTTGAGGTAGAATTACAAAGATATGTTAAAAGACAGTCTTCCAGTTTTACACTTTTAGTAATAAGCACATATACTGCCTAAGAAGTCATTGCCTTAGTACAGGTGGTATTTTTCAGCCATAACAAAGCTTTAAGATTTTTAGCTTAAGCAAACCATTTTATTTAATAACGTACCTATGATATGTAGACTAGTTTCAATTATTCGGGGGTTTGTGAGGAAACAGTGCAGACCTCTAGAAAACACTGGAGCCATGATCTTGTTTGGTTAAGGAAAAAAGTGAAGTACGGCTTTGTACAACTAAAACATGCGTGACTTCTTATTCCCCTTGTCTTTTACTAACAATGTAAATTTTAACTGTGGTCTATTTTTAGGGAAAATGGGAAGTCCCTCTGCCCAAAGTTCGTGCCCAGGGAGAAACAGAGGTATTAAAAGTTATTCGAACAGGAAAGAGAAAGAAAAAAGCATGGAAGAGGATGGTTACTAAAGTCTGCTTTGTTGGAGATGGCTTTACTCGAAAACCACCTAAATATGAAAGGTTCATTAGGCCAATGGTAAGTCTCTTGCAAGAGTGCAGTGGCTTAAATATTAGTTCCTGTATTAAACTAGATAAAGTACATTACAGTTTCCTGAAATTCCTAAATTGATATAAAATACTAGTATAGCTTGAAAGACATTTTAAGGTTGTTTTTGTTATTTTAAATTTTAAAGGATTGCTTAGGACTTTTCCACTATCATCAAAATCTTGTCTTCGGTTTCATAAGAGATTTGAGATGAAAAAGAATTTTCATTACGTTGTCAGTGAATCTTCACTTTTAAAAATGGCTTATTAGGATCTTCATTTTCCACATGAAGTAATTTTATTCATTCAGTAAGTGATCTACTATATGCCTGACTCTTGTTTGAGAGCAGTTAAAAAACTTGAGTAGGGCTGTTTTCAAGAGTCAGTTCTGGTTTACTAAGGGGAGTAGCTTAATGCTTTGAAAACATTCAATATGCAAACATTGCATTAAGCAAGTTTAATGTAAAAGTGGGACTTTATTTTCTGTTGACAGCAGTAATGGTAAAAACAAGTCAACCTATTTTCTCCCCTTCCCTTCCAATCCCCCCCCCCCCGCCCCCACCATAACCAAATATAATTGAAGATACATTTTTACAAAAGCCTTTAAACAGACTGAATTATTCTCCCAACTGGGTACCCAGCCTGCTTAGAGAAACAAAGAATCAGAGGAAAGTTGGCAGTGTCACTCTAGCTCTCAACCTGAATTTTTAATGGATTAAAATGTCAAACAGGCTGTTTCTATAAATAAAGTTCTATTGGAACACAGTCATGCCTGTTCATATTGTCCATGGCTATTTTTTTTCTGCAGAATTTGAGTAGTTTCAACAGAGACCATATGGCCTGCAAAGCTTAAAATGCTCAATTTAGGTCATTTACGGAAAACATCCCATCCACCAATCTCTAGATTCCATCATGGATTCCCCTTAATTGATTTCATATTCATAATCTTCTAAATACAATTTGGTGATCTTATCAGTTCTACAGGGAGAGGACATGTTGTTCTAGACTCAGTAGCTTGGCAGATACATATTTTATTGTGAATTAATCAGATGGCATTCTGAATGGTTTCTTGCCAGCTTCATTAATGAGTCCTTTACTAAGAACTTGATTTAGTATCATTTGCTGCCTACCTCTATTTAGTTATCGCATTCAAGAGACTGCAAAGTGTTGTGGCTTTTTAACATGCCACATTCCTAAAGACCACATCGAGGTGACTGGGTGACTATGGTCTCTTCCAGTCCTTGACCAGTGTTACCATCAGTGCAAAGAAAGCTAACAACTTTCATCATGGAAGTGAGCTGAGGTACATAAAGACTTGGAATCAGAATGCTTAAATTTGATTCCATCCATACACCATGTAACCTGTGAACAAGTCATTTAGCCTGCTAATCTTTTTTTTTATTGTTTTAAAAAAACTAGGGGTAATTGTATTTATCCTGTAACTGAGATTTTTAGTCTGTAGAATTACATTTTTATTTGATGCCTTAAGATTTTACTTTCAACTCTTTTGTTTGAGACTTGGAAAAGATAAAGCAAAAAAAGCCATTACTCATTGTTAACATTTTGGACTCAAACATTCTTGCATTTGACTTACTAGGGCTTACGTTTCAAGAAGGCCCATGTAACACATCCTGAACTGAAAGCTACCTTTTGCCTGCCAATACTTGGTGTAAAGAAGAACCCCTCCTCCCCACTTTATACAACCTTGGGTGTTATTACCAAAGGTACTGTCATCGAGGTGAACGTGAGTGAGTTGGGCCTTGTGACACAAGGAGGCAAGGTTATTTGGGGTAAGTAAATTTGTTAGTATGGGGACGCTGCTCTTGTAATCCTAAAAACAAATTTTCAAGTTGACATAAAGTACACAGCAAACTGTAATGTGGAAGACATAGATAAGTTCACACTTGATGTAAAGCAGATTTAAATCTTTAGGAAGAATACTTTTTGTAGAAAAAGTAGTTATGAATATAATTTAACTTAGTTTCAGTTATATGAGATGTACTACATTGCTAGACTTTGATGCTATATTTAAAAAGAAATTAATTACCAGGGAAACAGATGCCAATATATGGTTATAACTAAAAAATATTGGAATATAATAAATTAACCGTGAGTGGAAGAAGGAAGGCATATATCAAACAGCCACACTCTTTCAGTGGTAATGAAAAACTAAAATGTCATGTAATTATAAATTCCTTTTCCTCATTTTCTTACTTTTCTGCTTTTAGTGCCCAGATATTCCTAAACTTGAATGTTCTTTGAAAGGGAAGAATCCTATGTAATAAAAGGCTAATATGCAAATTGTCCCTTTGGCCAGGAGTTCAACCAGGGGGTGGGGCCTGTCGGCCAACCACCTGGATCGGGGGCGGGTCAGCCAGACCCCACCCATGCACGAATTCATGAACTGGGCCTCTAGTATCTTCTATAACTCTTAAAAGTAGTAAATTAGAAATATTGGGGCAAAGGTTATATTTTTTAAAGTTTTTATTAGCTAACATCCCTCTTTTTCTTCATTTTGTTTCCTTAGGAAAATATGCTCAGGTTACCAACAATCCTGAAAATGATGGGTGCATAAATGCAGTCTTACTGGTTTGACAGCAGTTTCATACAAGTAACTTTGTAATTGTTGAAGATTATGTACCAATCAGGAAAATTCCTTTACTATGATGTTTCTGAGTGCTATCAAAAACAGCTTACATGTCTGCAATCATCAAGAGAATTATTTATTCTATTGTAAAGAACATTAAAATGGCCCAGTTTTACAAATTGGTCTTTATTTTGGGGTCTGTTTATCACTTAGGTGCTCATGAAATTGAATGATTAAAAAAAGCAATTATAACAGTTTCCTACTTCATCAATAACTACCTGTTTTAATAAGTGGGTATTCAGCAATGCAGATCTAACATTTCTGGAAAGCCAGTGTAGTCGATAACACCTTTTATCCTAAGAGTTAACGCACACTTAATATGGGGCCTACGCTATAAAACCTCACCTCATTATTTATTCATCATTAAATGTAGCATTAACACACCTGGTAATGTTAAGTTTATAAAGTATTCACATTGAAGGCATACGAGAAAAGGTACACTACAGTAAGTCGAATTCAGAAGAAATTTAGATAAATCTTTTCTCCCGTAATTCTTAATTTCTTCAGACAGTAAGTCAGTAGTTAGTATGTTAAACATTTTCTTCTCTCATCATATATAGTAACACCTACTTGGAACTGTGCTTTCTACTTGCAACATGAAAAACACCAAAATGTTTATTTTTAGCATTTTCTGTATTCTGAACTCGGTAGTATATTTATATTTTTAGAGTCTGAAATTTGTTTAAATCCAGAAAAAAATGGTTTTAAAAAGAAAAAGACTGCACTGATGCCCTTAAAAGAGAAATATATTTGTAATCACATTATATAAAAAAGATCATGTTTTAGGGTAATTGTCAAAGCACCTTTGTGATATGAATTATGTTGGTGGCTTTGAGCTTTAGGGTGTCTATATATTAATCTATAATCGTTTTAAATTGTTTATTTTTAAAAATCTGTTCTGAAGATACAACCAGTATGAACAAATTCTGTATCCAAATACATCATCAATGAAATTAGGGGAAAGAATTTCAAAACACAGACCAAGAACAATCACAAAATATATGTTTAATTACTACTTTTAAACTAAAAAAAAACAACTACCAAGAAAATTTCAGTAAGACTTGCTATTCTAAATATTGCGATATCTTTTCTAAGTTCTATAAACAATAAAAGGTTTAGAACACAGGAAAAGAAAGGCTGGCTGACAGTCCTTGGGAATGACTATCCAGTATAATACAATTACTTCACAATGACAGAAGCTTAACCTTTCTTACAATTAGTTTTAACATGATTTTGCCACTAATAGAAATGAATGACTTAGGTTTTGGAAGGTGAAAGAAAACACTGACTAAAGGTAAGCACATGATGCTACAGAACTGAGATATTTTTTAAAATAAGCAAATTAACTTATACAAAGCCTGATATTAACAGAAACATAACTCATCACATCCATGAAATATCGGATAACACCTTGAACAATATTGATGTTAGTGGACATACCAGGCAGAAATATATTTGTAAAATACTGTTACATGGATGAGTGTAGGAATAAATTATTTACACTTTAAGATTCTGTTTCAAATTGCTGGTGTGACCAAATTTAGAAGGTAATCCCTAAGGGTAAAGCAGAACATAAGAACAGATATCAGATGCTAGGTAAACTCTCAATTTGATGGAATCACAACCCACCAAGTTAATTTTCTAAAGTCACTAAAACCATTTTAGGTAGCATAGTGTTCTGGTGGTCAGCAAAAAGTGAACCATTAATCACTAGTAGTTGTCTTTCCTGTGATAATTCTCTGTACTTAATGGAAAACACCATGAATAGAGACACAATTTAAGCAAGTGACTGATAGTCTGTCATGCTATTTGATTTTATAAAAAATCATAATAGACCCTCATCTTTAAAAGCTGTAGAAGATAAATATACTTATTTCTGAGATGTCCAGCAATTGAATAAACTTAAAAGAACTAAAATTTTGTTAATAACTGTTGTTAATAACTGCTCTACATTACACAAGGAAATACGTATTTACACAAACTAAAGTGAACTTCCTTCTCCACAAAACCACAAAGAATTACAGAATGTGACTGGATACTCAACAACTGGACTAGCTGTTTGAAATCAAATTTCTGTCCTCTAGTTCTGAAAGTTTTACTAACGACTTGCAAAAACAAGTATCTGATTAAGTTTTATTTAGTTTCATAGTTGATATATTTTGTTATAAATTCTATACTCACTGAGTATAGAACTCATTTACTGAAAAAGCATGTTACTGAATGTGAATGTTAGGGCTTTTCATGTGACTCACTTTTTCTCCTTTACTATCTATAAGCGCCAAAATAACATTTTTCTGCCAGACAACATGTAACAAGTTTTCTTGTGTGCTGAACAAAAAGTTTTGAAATTGCCTAAAATGCACATCTTGTTTAAGATAAACTAAACAAGTTCAACAAGTTTGTACTGTTAGTCCCTGGCAATCATACATGAATAACCATTTCTTTTTGTAAACTCAGTAACCATATTCACAAATCAAGAGTTGTCAGTGAATTCAACCTTCTTAAATTCCACCTTTTTATAGAAAGTATTTTGAAGAGAAAATGAATAATCCCAAGTAAAATAAGTGTTGGATTTTTATCATAAATTTAAAATGGAAAGGTTAAGAATAAGAACTCACTAAATCTTAATCTTTAATTCCCAATTGTGGTTTTAAATGTTTTTCATGAAACATGTGAGAACATAAACATTTGATAGGGAATTAGTACTACTCATACTTTTTTCTTTCACTTATTTAGCATTTTTTTGAGAAAACAGCCAAAGTGCTGTAATTTTCATTTAGCGTGAAATCTGGCTTATCCCAACCAATAATTAAAGAAAATTTGGGGATACAAGTACTCAAAATTTTACAATGAATAGGAGGGTTTGCCATTTTGCCTGCTTAAAGAACTTAGATCTTTCTAAAATACCAACATCCCCCTGAAAAATGTAATGACATAACTTGATTGTGGACTAAAAAACATTTAACATGAATCCTTAGCATTATTTGTCAAATAATGACAAAAAGTTCTAACTCTTTTTCATAATGAACCAAGCCTGTTTTAAAAACAATCTAAGTGGTCTCAAAGCATTCTTCAACTTAAGTACACATCTGAGTACACATAATACTTCCAAAGAGCAGTATTATTTCGAATTTCTCTTTGGATCCTAAGAATAACCATTTTGTTCATTTCTAAATAAATTACTCTACAAAAATTAACAATTGAGGGTTTTGTTGTTTTTAAGTTTTCCTGGGCAAAGGCCTTTGCTATGGCAACACAATAAACAGGCTGGCTTGTAACCTGTTCTCAAAACAAGAGTAAAAGCAAGACCAAAGGGACAAAGCCTCCAATTTGACTTAAGCTCTGGTAACAACAGTTCCTAGGGCAGCGTTACTGCTGTCATCCAGATCTAAGTGGGGCGTAGTTTCATACCTACCCAAAGTGATGCCAAGCGCATAAGCTGGCAGGCAGGCAGGCAGATTTTTTGACAGGATTCACTCTGTGAGGGAAGTGGATGAACGCTGAGAGGAATATAAATAAGATTCTAGAATAAGGGCAATAGCAGGATTAAGGAGAACTCTTAGGAAGGGACCTCTTACTTCTAATGTATATGTGTTAACTAGGTGAAGACAAAAGTATAGTCCCCAACTTCAAAAGAAAATTGAAATAATTATATTAGTACCTACATGCCAGAGTTAAGTCCCTAGCACTACTGTTAATATTAGATGTTATAAGGAGTGAGTTGGAAAGTTTGTACCTATTCGGAAAAGTCAAATGAAACTGCATCTACACTACAATGAAGTAAGAGGCCAAAATACCGCCCTCATAAACCTTTGACCAAAAATTTATGTATTTGTGCTCTCATTTAGTCGAAATTATTCTAATTTACTGCCATTTTTGTTTAGGCATGCCTACATTTTTTAAAATGGTGATTAGTTTTGATAGTTAAGCTAAAACTTCTAGAACACTCCCCAAGTTTACTATTTAAAACTCAAGTGTAAAAGATTTCTGTAATCCTCACAATGAAAAGCCTACTACTTTGTTTTTTAATTTATATATCCTGAAATATTAATAGTCAGATGGCCCCAACTACTAAAGAAAATACAGTATGGTCTGGTTTCCCCAAATCGAAACATGGTTAATAAAAATTAAAAAACTGTATTTACACAAAGTAACCTGAAAATGAAAAACAATGATGAATCCTAAGTCCTAAGGAGGAGGGAAAAACAGCATCATAAATAAGCTCAAAGTGAAATTCTGGAATTTTTGTCCTGTGCCCCGTGCTATTTATTACCATATCTTAAAAACAATTATGTTACAAAGAGGATTTGTGATCTGCATTTCTTCATTCAGGTCAGCTTGGCTTTCTTTTTAGCGGGTCCTTTGTATCCTTTGGCCTTTCTTCTTAAATTCCGCCTGTCTACAACAGGCACTTCCACTTCTATTTCCTCTGAGCTGCTATCCACAGTTTTTTCTATTGATTGTGTAAACTGATCCAGTTGCTCAGAAGATGCTTCCGACTGCTCCTCTGACTGGTTCTTCTGTCCTGCATTCTGTGAAAACTGCACATCTTCAAGTTCAACCTCTATCAAAGAACTCTGAGGAACAGCTGGAGATGTTTCCTGGGGCTCAGACACCCCCTCTTCAACCTGGTCTTCCAATGAGGAAGTAGTATTGGGTGACAAATTTTCAGAGATCGGTTCCTCAGAAAATTCAGCTACCACAGAATTTGGAAAACCACTGTCAGATTGTTCTTCATGTGGGATAGTGGCAGCATTGTCTGAACTCCCAAAATGTGCCTTCTTTCTTGGAACTGGTGGCAGTTTCTCTTCTGTGTGCCCCTTTCCATCAGATGGGCCTTCGTTTAACAACACTTCTGAGTCAGTTACATGTGAGGTCTAAAAATAAAAACCTGGTGAGCAAGCTTCTGCAATATAGACCTTATATAAATGATTCTTAGAAACCAATATGTAATGACACTGAACTGCATTTTAAAGACTTCAGTATTCATTACTTTACTTAACCATGTGTAGTACATATTCTGAGTACAAGTCAATTTCTTCAAAATTGTCTTTGATAATATGCATACATTAGGTTCTTGCTTTAAAGATATCATAAAAAGAATAATTTTAACTCAAAAAGTACTTAAGATATTTTAAACTTCATATCAAGATTTTTCAAAACTTTTAGCTCAAAAGTTTTTATTTTCCTGGTGTTACTGGAGCCAGAACCAAGAGTCCCTTGGAACTTGACACTGTGCCATCCCACTAAATTTGACTACGGTTTTGTTAGATGACAGGTAAGGGCAATGGAAATTTTATTCATTTATTTATCCTAGACGCTAATAAAGTAACTCTATACAATAGTTTTTTAGCTTTACATTTAAATATTCAAAATAAAAAATTAAATTTCTTTTAAAATAGTCCAAGTTTTCCCCACTAATCTGATGTCTCCCTAATTAAAACAAATTAAAATGATCATGTAAGCAAATAGGTACTCAAATATTTGGCAAAAAATTTTTTATCCATTTTTCTAAGCTTTTACCTACAAAGTAAAACTCATTTTGTAAACAAATCCGGTAAGAATGAATAGGTTATAAAGATTTGAATTTATGAAACATTACTGACTGCATCTTTGTAAAATACTGAATCTAGTATAAAATTTAATTTTTCTAAAGGACTGTACATGTTAAAGGAGGAAAATATACATACTACACTGCCCTTGCCATGTCACCAACACTAGAATATGTTAACTATAAAATGTTAGGTTAGCCCAACCCAGTTTTCTCAGTGGTTAGAGCATCAGCCCACGGATTGAAAGGTCCAGGGTTCAATTCTGGTTAAGGGCACGGCCTCGGTTGCAGGCTCACTCCCAGGGGCTCATGCAAGAGGCAACCAATCAATTTGTCTCTCTCACATCGATGTTTCTCTCTTTCTGTCTCTCCCCCTCCCTTCTACTCTGTCTAAAAAATCAATGGAAAAAATATCCTTGGGTGAGGATTAACAAAGCAAACAAAATATAAGGTTATTTCCCTCTTACCTTATCCTGTGCAACAGCCTCAGGGGGTTTTGAAGATTCTACCACCAGCGGAACTAGATTTGTAGGGTCTTCACTGGAATTAAAAGGCTGCAATTTAAATTCTTCATCTAAAACTTCACTAGTGGAGTCCTCCTCTTCAATTATAAGAGAGGTCTTAATAGTATCATCCATTACTTCACCATTCATAGGCTCTACTTCAGATTCCTACGGGGGGGAGGGGAGGAATATGTCAGGACATAATTACAGACTCACTTATTTGTCATGTTATGTGGGTCCATTCTCAGTCCTATCTGTCAGGTACCAAGACTCAAGATAAATTCTACCACATTATAGGGCAGGGGTTAAAGAATAGTGTTATCGGGGAAAAGGGGAAATGTATGAGGCAGGGTCAATAAAAGAAAAGAATCCATAAGTCCCCCAAACTCCTCCTGTTCTCATGGAGAGAGAGGACAGGAACTGGATACGTATGGACACAGTGTGATTCAGTACTGAAACCCTGCCCCTTCTTGCTCTTCCTTCTCAAAGGACAATCATGGGAGGAACCTTTTCAGTAAAAAGGCACCAGAGAGGGTCTAGATGTGGTGCCACCTCTTTACAGAACACCAGCTGCTCAGCACTTCCCATCTTTGGAGCCTGTAGGAAGTGAGTTTACCCTGCCAGGGGGAAGGAACACTAGCAATCCTGTGGGAAGCTGTTTGGCTACAGGTTCCTGCAGGGATAAAACGAGCCCCCAATCTCAGTTCCCTGTCTAGTTAACTTAGGGTCATTTCTGAACAATCCTCCTCCTTACCTCACATTAAAATACAGAAAAGTGATCTGATAACACAAACCCTGCAATTTCTAAAAATCTTCCAATGTTTATCAATATACAAGACTTCTACTTAATGTCTAATATTTCTAATCCTATTGATATTCTCGTAATTAGAAGGCATTTTATTACCATTTTAATAATAAGAAAACTGATGCACTCAAGTGTTCAGAAATAGATTTGGCTGAATTATATAGAACCCTTGAAGTCATATAAAGAACATTTTCCATAGGACTATTGAAATCAGGGGCTTAAATATACAAAATAACTTGCACAAAGAAAACAATTATAATAAAACTCATAAAAGAACCAATTTAGGGCAGAAGACATATCAAAAGGAAGAAAATGAGAAAAATAGAGCAAAAGCTTTAAAAAATAGAATTCTGGTAACTAAAAGTGAGAAGCAACAGAAGAGAACAACTCAGTCCAGCCAGTTTTAGTTTTGGGAACTGAATGAAAGATAAAATTTTTTTTACAAGGCTCAATACAGAAGTGATAAGAAAGAATATAGATTGTGCTAAATTTAAGATGATAAAAGGCATCTGTCTAAACAGAAATATTCAGAAGGCAAGTAACATTATGATACTACACTCTGGATCAATATTGAAAGTCTACAGTTATTGGTCATTTCCTCATTGAACCATTAGATTGGATGCATTTTCAAAGAGCAGAAAGTCAAGAACTGAGTCTTTTAGATGAAAAAGCAGAACAGTCAAAAAATAAATAAAACAAAACAAAACTTAAGAGATAGGAAAACCAAGAAGTTAAAATACAGTAGTGTTAAAAAGCAAGGGAGCTAGAGAATCTTGAAGAGAGAGCAGTCAATCTAGGTCAGAAAATCCACTGGAATTCAATGGAAGTGGCACTGGTGACCTATAACAGTATGTGCTCAATGTATTGTTGGACAAATGAAACTGGTTAAATGAAGTATGTACAGTTAATATTAAGTTTTTAAAAGAGAAAAAAAGCACAAATATATATATGCCCATAAGCATCTAGGTCAGTGATGGCGAACCTATGACACACGTGTCAGAGGTGAACGCGAACTCATTTTTTTGGTTGATTTTTCTTTGTTAAATGGCATTTAAATAAATAAAATAAATATCAAAAATATAAATCTTTGTTTTACTATGGTTGCAAAGATCAAAAAATTTCTATATGTGGCACAGCACCAGAGTTAAGTTAGGGTTTTTCAAAATGCTGACACGCCGAGCTCAAAAGGTTCGCCATCACTGATAGGTGCACATAAATCTTTTTTATTTTTCAAATATAATTTACATTCAATATTATTCTGTATTAGTTTCAGATGTACAGCAAAGTAGTTTTAAAAATCATGTACTTTACAGAGTGGTCCTTCCGCTGCTTCAAGTACCTACCTGGCCCCACACATATTTATCACAATATTATTGACTATATACATCTCTGTGACTATCTTGTAACTGCCAATTTGTAGGGTTTTTTTTGTTTTGAGATAAACCCTTTTATTTATTTATGCTTCTCCATTTTGTTTAAAACAACCACCACCACCACCTTAATATTAACCGATAGCCCTTCCCCCTCACCCCTCCTTTTGGGCTGGGGGGTAGATAATGGGGAAATGGCTCCCAGGGGCGGGGCTGACCATAGAGCCCCTTGGAGAGGTAATGGAACCCAAGTCCCCTCCCCAGGGGACGGGGCACCTGTAGTGTATGAACTGGGGAGTTAACGGGACTCTTGAACCTCTTCTTGTACCAACATATATGCCCTTGGCCATCAAGGGTAAGGAAGGGGATTCCTACCGCTCCTCTATGTCCCTGCTCAGTCCCTATCTCAGGAACTGAGGGCTAAGGAGCAAGAAAGTGGAGAAAGGGTGGAGATAGGGTGTCACACAAAGGAGTACTGGTTATTAATGGCTCTGGGGTGGCCCCCTTCTTTTCCATTGCCCCCCTAGTGGTCACTTCTGGAGCTGCACCATTGGTGTTGCTTCAGGGACCCCACTAGATCCAGGGCCTCCCTGGACCTCCATGCCTGGTGTCATGGCCTCTTCCAATTCAACCATGAGGACCAACTCAACCATGGGGACCAGCTCTTCCTGGATCCCTCCACTGCCCACTTCTTTCTCTTGCCTCTCTTTGGCTGCTGTGGCTGTTGCTGCTGCCACTTCTGACACCCCCGACGCCTCTTCTGCCCCAGGATGTGGGGGATCTGTCCATGAAGGGGGTTCAGGGGGTGGGGGTGGGTCGTGGGAGGTGTTCAGTTACACCGTCACTCGCTCTGAAGGTAATGAGGGTGGAGGAGGCATCGGGGTAGCATCGATCTCCCTCGCACACCCCTGCATGGTTCCTGGCCTGCTCTCAGTCTCCTCACTTCTTGGGTGCATGGGCACCTCCTCCCCTGCAGACCTGCTCTGCTCACCCTGCTGCTGCTGGGAGGACACAACATAGCTGCCAAGGACAACATCACTGGGGCCTCCAGACTCCAGAGGGATGGGTGCACCCGGAAATGCGTGAGCATATCAAAAATGGACTGGAACCACAGGTGCTGGACCCGGCACTGACGCTCCTCATTCAGCGACAGACACAGGTGCTGGGCCTTG